TCATTCGGGCGCTCGGGCACTGCCCGAAGGCCCAGGGTCAGTAGGGGGCCCCATGAGATGCCCCTGGTTCCTTTCATAGGCTTTTTTTGGGTCTGGTTTGAGTGTGGGCGAGGACACAGGGGCCCCATGATCCCCTATTACCCAGCCAAAACTTATGGCCATAAAATGCCACTTGCCAAGGTGGTCCCAAAATGTGCTCAAGGTACTTTCCCTGCTGCAAGTGTCAGAAACACATCCACTGGTCCCTAGACAGCATTCCCCAGCTTACTTTCATTTAATCAGGCCTGGATCACCAATTCATATGTTGCTGATGAAATTAATAAATGTATTTTATATCTGTTTTACAAAAAGAAGACACTTTTCCCTCTTGTTCTCGATGTTTCTACCACTGTCATCAACATTTCCACCTCTTACTATCTCTCCTCCTTCCTATACTTCCCCACTTTTCCCTTTGCCAATAAATGTTCCTAATTTTTGGAAAGTTACCATATGTCTCAACAGTTTTCACTCACTAAAGCCAAACTGTACTGCCAATGGTACACTTTTTTTTTTACAATCTTATTTGAGATGCTACCCTGTACTTTAAATTGTAGAAAAACACCTGCCTTATGTCTTCACATTTATGCCTCTGCTTGTTTTCTTGAAAATATGGGGACCCAAGGCCAAGACTCTAAGGAACTGACAGGTATTCACTAGGCACCCTGCAAAAAGTGATGGACTTGGATGCTGAAGAATGGCTTCCAGGTTGTGGCCCACAGGTACATGCAAAGTGGTGCCTTTTCTTGTCACTTAAAAAATATTTAATGAAAAAAATTGCCATGTATTTACACATGTAGGCAAGCAGCTCTCCTGACACTGGTTATTTATTTTTCACAACTGTATCTGCTATACTACACTGTAATTTTTATTGTAGAAAATACACCAGCCTTGTTTGTGTCTCCACATTGCAGCTTGTTCTAACTGTTCACATTCAAGTCCTGTTTCAATTCTTTTCTGAAGTATATCTGAGATGCAATTTTATATGGGGTTGCAGAGTGCACATTTGCTCACCATTCTCAGATGCAGATGAAGGCCCGTATAATACTCCTTGGTTTCCAGGACACATCCAAGGAATTTTAGTTTCTCTGTTCCCTCCCCTTACAGCTTAGAGAGGCCACACCTGATGAGGCAGAAGCAGCCGGTCATGTGATATGCAGCCAGGGGGGAGGCCCTCCACTGTCAGAACCAGCATGGGGGCAGCTAGAGCCTAAAAGAACACAGCTTCTCCAGAAGACCCAGCTACTGTGGAAATAATTTCTCCAAATTGCTACCAGAGTACTGCAGTCCAAGTGGGTCAGCCCTATGTCCTTGCAGGACCTAAGATCCCTTCAGCTGTTCATCTTTGTTACCAGAGGTTCCCTGAACTTTACTGAGAGGAATGTTGAATATAATCAAAAGTAGCTGTGTTATTTTTTGCTGTTTTACTGCAGCAATGATTATCAACTTGAATCTTTGTTGTTATGGGGTTTGGATAGGACAAATTTGCAGTCTCACATGAAGTACAGGAATGTTTTAGAGGGTTTGTTGTGACACATAAAGAAGTTCTGCTTCCACCGTCTAACACAAATATGTCACATTGGTCAGGCTATAGAAGCTATATATCATAAAAGACACTAACAGAAAAAAAAACCGTATACAGGCATACATTACAATTATAACTGCCATTTTTTTCTTTCTTCTGGAATTGCTTTTTAAATAGTTATTGATTTTAGTTTATTCAGTATTTCTGCAATATGGTTGTTGCTGTCTTGAACCAAAATGAGTCTATGTAGCACTGTGTATATTAAAAGTAAAGAGGTTTTTAAAAAAAATTATTTTATTGCAAACAACAATTTCTTTTTTGTGTTCTTTAATTATATGATATATACAGGTGAAACTCGAAACATTACAATATCGTGCAAAAGTTCATTTATTTCAGTAATGCAACTTAAAAGGTGAAACTAATATATGAGATAGACTCATTACATGCAAAGAAAGATAGTTCAAGCCGTGATTTGTCATAATTGTGATGATTATGGCTTACAGCTCATGAAAACCCCAAATTCACAATCTCAGAAAATTAGAATATTGTGAAAAGGTGCAATATTCTAGGTTCAAAGTGTCCCACTCTAATCAGCTAATTAAGCCATAACACCTGCAAAGGGTTCCTGAGCCTTTAACTGGTCTCTGTCTGGTTCAGTAGGAATCACAATCATGGGAAACACTGCTGACCTGACAGTTGTGCAGAAAACCATCATTGACACCCTCCATAAGGAGGGAAAACCTCAAAAGGTAATTGCAAAAGAAGTTGGATGTTCCCAAAGTGCTGTATCAAAGAACATTAATAGAAAGTTATGTGGAAAGGAAAAGTGTGGAAAAAAAAGGTGCACAAGCAGCAGGGATGACCGCAACCTGGAGAGGATTGTCAGGAAAAGGCCATTCAAAAGTGTTGGGGACTTTCACAAGGAGTGGACTGAGGCTTGAGTCAGTGCATCAAGAGCCACCACACACAGACAGATCCTGGACATGGGCTTCAAATGTCATATTCCTCTTGTCAAGCTGCTCCTGAACAACAAACAACATCAGAAGCGTCTTACCTGGGCTAAAGAAAAACAGACCTGGTCTGTTGCTCAGTGGTCCAAAGTCCTCTTTTCTCATGAGAGCAACTTTTGCATGTCATTTGGAAACCAAGGACCCAGAGTATAGAGGAAGAATGGAGAGGAACACACTGCAAGATGCTTGAAGTTCAGTGTGAAGTTTCCACAGTCTGTGTTGATTTGGGGAACCATGGCATCTGCTGGTGTTGGTCCACTGTGCTTCATTAAGTTCAGGGTCAACGCAGCCATCTACCAGGAGATTTTGGAGCACTTCATGCTTCTTTCCGCAGACAAGCTTTGTGGGGATGCTGACTTCATTTTCCAGCAGGACATGGCACCTGTCCACACTGCCAAAAGCACCAAAACCTGGTTCAATGACCGTGGGATTACTGTGCTTGATTGGCCAGCAAACTTGCCTGACCTGAACCCCATAGAGAATCTATAGGGCATTGCCAAGAGAAAGATGAGAGACATGAGACCGAACAATGCAGAAGAGCTGAAGGCCATTATTGAAGCATCCTGGTCTTCCATAACACCTCAGCAGTGCCACAGGCTGATAGCTTCCATGCCATGCCGCATTGAGGCAGTAATTGCTGCAAAAGGGGCCCAAACCAAGTACTGAGTACATATGCATGCTTATACTTTTCAGAGGTCCGATATTGTTCTATGTACAATCCTTGTTTTATTGATTGCATGTAATATTCTAATTGTCTGTGATTGTGGATTTGGGGTTTTCATGAGCTGTAAGCCATAACCATCACAATTATGACAAATCACGGCTTGAACTATCTTGCTTTGCATGTAATGAGTCTATCTCATATATTAGTTTCACCTTTTAAGTTGCATTACTGAAATAAATGAACTTGTGTACGATATTCTAATTTTTCGAGTTTCACCTGTACACAATATAAAATGACAAACATTAATACCGCTTTATATTTTTACAAAATTTAAGAGGAGAGCCGGCAAAAATAAGAAACATAAGAAAATAAGAGCCAGTGTCCAAGACACAACATACAGAAGCTGCCATTGGAAGACTGGTGCTTTTAATCATACATCTAATCATATAAAATATGCACTGGTCTAACTCAGTAAAATGCAATAAAACAGTAGGAGATAGAGTCAAGGAAAAGTGCACAGCTCCAACCTGCCAAGGGCCCAGAGTCCTCCACTCCTCCACACACGGCTCAGTAAAATCTAAAAGAAAACCCACACACAAATTATGTTTTCGCAGGCAAAGCTGTAATCAGCCAACAAGCTTTGGCACTAAAGGGGTTTTCCTGGGGATGGTACTATGTACTGAAGCTCATCAGCTAAATAGTTTTGCCTGTAAATATAGCATCGGTGTCTTTTGAATTATACTGAGCTGTGGGTAGGAGGTTCTTCCTATGTTGTCCACATAGGGAATGTTTGATTTGTACGCATATATAAATAATAGTGCAGTGCTAATAAACTAAATCACCATAAATTATAATTCATGGGCTAAACAAGCCAAACACACCTACATGTGAATAGTGACTGAAAACATAAAAAATTAAATGTAAAAAATATGATATATCTTAAAGTGACAAATTCATCTTTGTGCCCTACACACATGCCAGCAAATAACTCAACAATGTTAAAATAAAAGACATATATCATGTGATAGTGCCACTTCAAATCTCATAAATGAACACATAAATATATTAGTCCAGTATTTAAATAAGTGATAGGACATACACATGCAATGTGCAATTGGTGCTCAATCCTGTGAGTGCCAACACACTTTTCCACTTCAGCTGCAGTGCCTTCTCACCTCCTTTCTGCGACTCCTAAGGGCCAGAAAGCCTTCAGGATCACCCTGGATCCTCAACAATTCCGTCTGGTAAATCTCCTCTAAGCAGATTTTTTGTGAAGTCTCACTCACATATTAGTGAGCAAAGAAAGAGATCCTCTATAGTGTAGTAAATCAAGCTTGCAGTTCATTTATTTATGAAAAGAAGTTACTCACATTACAATACAGCCTCTTCCTCTCCCCTGCATGGGTAAACTGCATTCATGTGGTACTTCCTGGGAGTTTTCAAGATGGAGTCCCATACAGGAAGTGCGTCACTTCAAAAACCGGAAGCTGCGTATCGGCGTACCTACGCGTTACGTCACGTGGTCTCGTGACGTCACTATTCACATGTAGGTGTGTTTGGCTTGTTTAGCCCATGAATTATAATTTATAGTGATTTAGTTTATTAGCGCTGCACTATTATTTATATATATTTTCTGCACTGTTTGGGTATCAGTTTGAGTATAAGCAGCTGATAGGTAGGGTTTGGGGTCCATTACAGCGCAGGAGGAATTCTATCATCAAACCATTGATTTGTACACAGCTTCTTGAATACAAATCAGACATCATTAGTCCAGATAGAGGCAATAGTCTGCAGGACGTATTAAAATGGATGACCCTTGGCAGTTCCCATTACAGAGTCCCTGCCAGTGTATGCCATTTTTGTTGTTCAGCTTGGAGGCATAGCATGCTCCATACCACCATGCACCACCATAACTGGAAGCACAGTTGGCACTATAAATGTCTTGATCTTTATCCTTACTTGAGAACTTCATGTTGTCATGTGTTAGCCCTGGACTTACTGAGGACATGGCATCTCCTGCAGTGCCCGTGTAGCTTCCCAGCCTCAGCTTGTAGCCATTAGCTTCATCCTCCACACTGAACAGGTTGTAGTCAGCATATTTTTCTACATTGTTATTGTCAAGAATAACAAAACGGGCCTGATACACCCTCTGCTTAGTGATTTGGTGAATATATTCAATGCCCAGCCAGTAATCCTTCTCAACATTGCCAAAGCCATATTTGTAGGTAGTCCAGGACTCATCCCACGTAATCTCGGAGTTAAAGGAATTACGCTGGATGACAATCCAACCTCCACTGTAGGTTGTCATGTCACAGTACACAAGCAGTGGATGTGAATCTTTGGGATGTATAACATAGATTCCACTCTCCTTGTCTCGTGAAATTCCACTGCAGTCTTTTGGAAAACCTGTGACAAAAGAGAATACTTACAATTTGAAGGATCCCAGAACACCAGAACCTGCTTAAGTAGTGCTTGTTTAAAGTTCAAATGTAGTTTCAGGTTACCAACCTATAAACCTATGGGCTTGTGGAGGAAGACAAGAACACAGATTAGACTGTCTACACCAGTCTTTCTGGACCTTTCCAACACAGAGGAACCCTTCAAATAACTTTCAGATCTCAAGGAGCCCCTTCTAAAAATTACTATATCTGCAACTCATGATACATTACTGTGATGTCAGTGGGAAGAATACTTCTTACACTTGTGGTCATTGGGTAGAATTACCCGCTTACAGATAGGTAAAAAGATCAATGGTGAGAACTTATCTAAGAGGCAGAAATTGCTAATTACTCAAGTAACTCCTAGCAACCTTTGGAGGAGTCCTAGGGTTTCATTGAATCCTGGTTAAAAAACCTTGGTCTGCACAAACAGCACAAGACTTTATAGCAGGATCATCTCTCATAATTGTGAAGTCTTCTTCAGTAACCATCTTAAACAGCAATCATGATAAGCTACTGTAAGTCTAGTAGCTCACAGTAACAATCCATAATTTAGTTTATGAAGTTTACTTAAAGCTGAACTGCAGGAATTCAGGCACTTATTTATTGCTGTCTGTGTCTCTGTTAAGGAGATTTACTCTCCCTGTTTTGAAAAATTAAAAAATTTGAGCTGCCATTAGAACAGGAACATAGGGTATATCTTTCAACGGGGACATTTTTTTCTGCTAACAACTAAGAGGGCACTACATTTCATCCTTTATTACTGTATCTGAAAAAAAAACTTTTAGCCTTAGAAATACTTTGAAGTGTTACTAAACCCACAACAGTAAATCAGTCTGTATATACAGTAAAACATGCTTGTTATACTCACTGTGGAACCTAAGGGGTCAATCCTCTGCATTGTGTAAAAAGGCCCTTTGATCCTGATTGTTCTGTTCCTCCCCTTGTTTAAGAGATCAACTCTTATCTCCTGATAAAACAGACTGAACTGTTGGTATTTTGCACATGCCCAGTTTGGTGTGTATTGCTAGAGAGGTTTTTGTTTTTCCTTGGGAGAGTGCATGTGATCAGCACAAGGCCAATCAGCACTGTCCAACAGAGGTCAGGGGTTTACATCCCCCTAGAGAAGAAATAAACCTCCTCCTACAAGCTTTAGCTAGTGCTTGGCTGAACACTGATTGAAGCCACAAGACTGCTTTAACTTCTGATGAGAAAAGGTATTTAGCAGTTTATATTTACTAAAATGATTGCATTTCCATGTTCTGTGTACTGTGGGAGACAGATATAGTGAATGCAGGGTCCTAGGTTTAGTGACACTTTAAGGGCTCATGTACAGTGCAGCTGCTAAATTGAAGTTTAGGAGCAGTTGTGTATTTTTTTTTCAGCAGCCCCTGAACTCTCCTTTCTGTTTTCCTATGTGTCTATGTACACATAGTCATTTACAGTAGTTTACAGGCAGTTGAAGTTACAGGCATTTTTTTGAAAGCACAAAAATCACGTTCAGGAGTAGAGTTTATCAGCGTTTCAAACGCCAAATGCTTGTAACTGCGTGTAAATGCTTGTAAACGTGTTTATGCGTGTTTAGGTTTAGATGCATTCTTGGGCTGGTCCATATCAAGATGCTGTCCAGAGCCTTTTTTCTTCATCAAAAATTCATGCACAGCATTTTCCATGTATTCAAATGGACCTAGTACACCAGTGCAGTCAGTTCCAGGTTTGGTGTGCAGGAAAAAAAAATGGTAGAACATGCTGCATTATTTCTGCACAGAATTGTACTGCAACATGTCAAAACACAGCAAACAAGCACAAGGAGTGTTGTGTGCACTCCAGAATGCATTCGGAGGCATTACAGGCATTACAGCACTCTGTAGCTCTTCCCACAGTGCCAAGCATGTTTCACGAGCCACTTTTGCTACAGCTGCAACATCCATCAGAAAGTAGCAATCTCTCTGCTTCTGCTCTCTCTATTTCTCACAAAATGTCTAAAATAGTTAATTATTTACTATTTTTCAGTGCATTCTGGGGATTTGGAAGGGTCCTCCTGAGGTTATCTTTTAAAAACGCTTCTAAACGCAAACGCGCATAAACACGGCAGATAAACGTGGCTAAACTGACGTTTTTAACCGACGTTTTCTAGCAGTCAGTTTCCATCGGTCAGGAAAGTTTTTCAAAAGCCCCGTGTACGTGAGGCCTAACTACGGCAAATTCATTTGTAGCGTAATAGTATCCCTGGGGTGATTCACCCTCTAGTTTTGTCCCTGTAACCATTATGTGCTGTATCAAGACAGATGTTGGAAAATGCCATTTCAGAAACTAAACACAATGTAAAAGTTGTAAAGTACATACAATGTAATAGATTAGCAGTAAAAGATTCCTTTGGAAAAGGAATTCTGTCATTTAGTGGAAAAAAAAAACCCAGACACAAGTGCATACTGTACATATTTCAACATTCAATGTATAGTTACATGTGTAGTAGGGTTTTTTTCTTTAGCTTTATGGACAGCTGATATATGCATTTCTTTTAACCTGTTCCTGCTGGCCGTACCCATCTATACCGTGGTTGGGCAGGTGGGTACTGCACATATTATTCCATTGGGAACAGCATTCTGTGCTGAGAATACGCTCACTGTTACCTCTCAGTATGACTAAGCTGTCACGGACAGTTCCCAATCTTTGCTTACGATCGTGAGCTTTAATCATGTGACCACTGTGATTATCTATCACATGATATAGAAGCCTGCCTCCGCCCCTTGGCATTCAGTTCTGGGGGGCAGTGGTGCCAGAGAGTTAAACTACAGTAAATTCAAACTAAAGATGCAATATTACAATATAAGTTTCTATACATAATTAATGTTAGATTTATACACTGATAAACCATACTGAAGAGCTCTTCATCATCATCATCCTTCCTCAGCCTCCTGTTATCATGACGTGTTGAAACAGCAGAAACAGCAGCTAGTATCATCAGATAATAAAGGATACCTAAGGGTAAGATACAAAGAGAAGTAATTCAGGTTAACAGATTTAGAAATAAAATACAGGAGTATCTCGGTTTACGAATTTAATGCATTCTGCAGGATGTTTCATATTGCGAAAAATTCATAAACCGAAACACAGTTTCCCATAGGAATGCACTGAAAACCAATTAATCCGTTTGTCCGGTCAGAAAAAAGTTTAAAAAAAAGTCTTTTATCTGTTCAAAACTCTTTATAAAGGGCACTTTAAAGGCATAAAAACCGTACAGGGACATGATTAAAAATTAATTTGTAAATGCACTGAAAATCAATTAATCCGTTCCAGAGGTCAGAAAAAAGTAAAAAAAAAAAGTCTTATCTGTTCAAAACTCTTTATAAAGTGCACTTTAAAGGCGTAAATACTGTACAGGGACATGATTACAAATTAATTCATAAATGCATTGAAAACCAATTAATCCATTCCGGATGTCAGAAAAAAGTAAAAAAAAAAGTCTTACCTGTTCAAAAACTCTTTATAAAGTGCACTTTAAAGGCACGGGGCCGGCACTATAAACCTCCCAGGTGCAATGCATCCTGGGGAAACTTGCTTCATATTGCGAAAAAAATAACCGAGGCATTATTTTCAATGGATTTTTATTCATAAACTGAAAATGATGTTAACCAAGGTGTTCGTAAACCTAGGTACGCCTGTATTGTATAAACCAAACATGTAAAACAGTAGGCTGGGTTAATCTTCAAGGGGCCACATTGTGTCTGCTGATAACCTCACAAATTAGTTCTAAAAAAAAGCAGAGAACAGGTGCCGGAACTCCCCCCTTCTGAATCACTTCTTGTCAACCGCCCCTCTACCCATCTCTGATCACAGTCTCTTGGTTCCACCCCCTACCCACCTCCCAGTATCACTCCTTATAGAGAATACACAGCCAAGTATCACTTTGTGGTGCTAAGTCATTTGTATGGAATTTGTTAATGATCACAGAAAATGCAGTAAAATAATTCCCCCACAGCCAGAAGCAATAGACCCCCCCCCAGCAACAATGGACCCTGGCAACAAAATTTAACTTCAGGAACAATAGACCCCCAGCAACAACAACAACAGATCCCCCAGCACTCAGCATCAAAACATTCTCTAACAACCAGCAACAATAGACCCCCTACCGCAACAGTAGACACCTTCCAGCAACAATAGATAGCCCACCAGCAACAACAGACCTCCTTATCAACAATTGACCACCATGCAAAAATAGATCCCCTCCAGTAACAATAGATCCCCCAGCAGCCACCATCAATAGACCCCTTGTCACTACATACATTCAGTTCTGGAGATTCCAATATTTTGTGAAGCATTTAGCTATAAAATGATATAAGGGACAGTAATGTATTATGTGGAGAACAGCTAGGGTGTTTTTTGTGCACACTTATCAAATCACCAGTATAAATTATATACTCTATATCTTTTCTCTACTAAAGACTTTGTCAGGGTTGGCCTAGATCACGATCTTCCTTGCCAACCCCTGGCACCTGGACAGGAGGGGCAGCAGTGGTGGTATTTACGGAAACCGATCCTCTGTATTTTCCCCCTGCAGAAGCTGAAAGTCGGCTTCTCCTCCTCTCCCCCCTATTGGCATTCAGCTGCTGTAGGAGGAAAATCCAAGGTATTGGTTCTAATAAATGCCACCCCCCACCTTGCCTCCTGTTCTTGTTACTCTTTTCTCTGCTGCCCGGATCCCCCTGTGTGCTCCCCCCCCCCTTCCCTCCACAGCACTGCCGGCTTCAATTGAAGCTGAGAAAAATAATGTGAGCAGGCAGGCTTTACGTGTCTCTTCTGCAATATAATCCACCTACCTGCCTCTTCTCAATTCTCTGTAGAATGTGCACAGTGCCTTTGTGTTGGGATGAGTGTACTCCTGCGTATGAGCGACACTATCCTTTGCTGGCTAAGACAGCTAAAATTTCTGAAAGAAGCAAGGGAGAAGGTGGTGGGACCAGTGAGGGACCTTATGGGTGGTGCACTGTTGGGAAATTATTTTTTTGTTATTTTTTTAAACCCTAGCTGCACTTTAAGAAACTTGCTACCACCCATCAGTATGGGGAGGGACCATGACACCCTGCATTTACAGTAAAGACCCCCAGTCCTCACTCTTCCGTGTGGAGTGATGCTGGGTGCCATTCAGCCTAGAAGACAGAGGACATCTTGTGGCAAAGAAGATATGCTGTACAGACAGTTTTTTTTTTTGCAGTACCTGGGTGACCTTCTTGAAAATAAAAGTGTAGCCCACAATCGTGCTTAAAGTGACCTTAAAATGTCCCTAAAATGTCCCTAAACCCACAGTAAAATCAGTCTGTATATGCAGTAAAGCATGCTTGTTATACTCACTGTGGAACCTAAGGGGTTAATCCTCTGCACTGTGTAAAAAGCTTGTTTGATCCTCCTCTTCTTCTACTGTCCCCAATCTATCTGCTGATAGTACAGAACTCTAGGAGTCACTCTGCACATACTCAATGTAGTGTGTATAGCTAGAGACATTTTTTTTTTTCTTTGGGAGGGAGCATGTGATCAGCACAGGACCAATCAGCACTATCCAAATAGAGGGGTAGGGGTCATGCAGCTTCATAGGACAATCAGAACAGAATGCCAACTCCTCCTACAAGATTAACCAATGCTCAGCTGGACACTGATAGAAGTCACAAGACTGTTCTAACTATTGAGAAAAGTTTAGCAGTTTATATTTACTAAAATAATTGCATTTCCATGTTGTGTGTACTGTGGGAGACCAGATATAGTGACTGCAGGGTCCTGGGTTTAGTAACACTTTAAAGTGAACAGCTTTCCAGTAAATTTACAATATGGGTGATTTAAGTATTTATATCCAGAACTCTTACTGTGTAACATTGTATGGGAAGAGTTGGTCAATTCACTCTACCATATTACCTGCCATTGGCCACTCTCTGAAAAGCAGCTTCTGAATGCCTATTGTGTAATATGATTAAAAGCTTGCTTCACATTGTTTGAAATATAAGGCTGCCTGATATTAAGCTCACTTTTATTTGATCAACATAGGCAGTCCCATCACTCAAAGGTTATAGAATTAGGAAAAATCATTAAAAAATCATCACCCCGTGCTTGAATGCCATGTGGTAATGCATAAAAATGGTTAAAGTGACTTATAATTTAAGTACAGATGCAGCAGAGGGACAAGAGATCTTCTTGGGTCAAGAGATTCTCTTGCTTAGAACCCATTATAAAATTTAAAGCTCTACAATTCTAACAGGCAGGATCATTTCTAACACCAACACGCAGTAGAATATTGGGACTCTCTTACAAGTGTGCAGTATTGATTTTTGCCACTAGAGGTCAGTGGAAATTTATTGCAGCTTGCTTCAAAATATAAATGATTTGGCAATTTTGTTTCTGTTTTATGGTATTTGATCATTCTTATGATGTACTTATTGACAATGTCCTTGTCCTTGTTTTTATCTCTATACTTGCAAAACCTTTTAATTGTTACCAAAATGTCCTTAAATAAATAATAAAAAAAATAGGCAAAACATTTTTCATATTTTTGAGAGAGTAAGGAAGGGTTGCAATCAGTGGCGGACTGACAAGTCATGGGGCCCCCGGGCAATAGGGGATCATGGAGCCCCTGTGTCCTTGCCCACACTCAAAACACACCCAAAAAAGGATGTAAAAGGTACGAGGGGCATTTCATGGGGCCCCCTACTGACCCCAGGCCCTCAGGCAGTGCCCGAGTGCTCGAATGGTCAGTCTGCCCCTGGTTGCAACCCTGTTTTTTTGTTTTGGATTTTTTTGCTTACTTCGGTGTTTGATTTTGGACTGAAGCCAAAACAGGAAATCTCTCCAAAGTGAGGGACTCCTTGGTTGTCACCATTGTCACCCAGAACTGGTGTTCCCATTGGAAGATTTCCCATCTATTCCTGTTATGGTGACAACATAACACTTTCACTCAGTGAACAGGACAAATAGGGAGGATTGGGTGGAGCATGGATCTACCTCCGATCCATTATGCTCAATCCGCAGATCCGATCCATCCTGCGGGGATCGTCGGCTTTCTTTACAACTTTGAAGGGTCCTTCCTTCCCTAGGCCAAGCTACTTTGCTTGCTTGTCTGAAAGCTTAGTCAGTTTCACTCCAAGCTTATCAAGATGGGCAGCTGCCACGGCTTCATCAAGTTTTTTGGGCAGGAAGTACACTCCTGCAGGATATTTGTCAGTGTTGGTCCACAGTTCAATCTGCGCCATGACCTGGTTAGTGAAGGAATTGCTCATGACAATGCTAGGGTGACCCATCACACATCCCAAATTTACTAGACGGCCTTCAGCAAGTAATATAATGTCCATTTTTCAAGAGGTAGCGTTCCACCTGCGGCTTAATGTTCACTTTCTTGGCAGCTTTGTCATTTAACCACTTCACATGGAGTTCAACATCAAAGTGGCCAATGTTGCAAACAATGGAATCATCCTTCATCTGCTCAAAGTGTCTGCCTTTAACAATGTCTGCACACCCTGTTGTGGTGACAAAAATGTTCCCTTCTTTACAAGCTTCATCCATTGTTGTGACCTCATAACCTTACATGGCTGCCTGCAGTGCATTGATTAGGTCTATCTCTGTGATGATGACACGTGCACCAAAAGTCCTTAAAGCTTGAGCACAACCTTTTCCAACATCGCCATACCCTGCAACCACTGCAACCTTCCCTGCAATCATCACATCAGTGGCTCGCTTAATGCCATCAATCACGGACTCTTGGCAACCGTACAGGTTATCAAATTTGCTTTTTGTCACAGACTCATTGACATTGATGGCACATACTTTTAGGGCCCCTTCAGCTTTCATTTTGTACAGGTTGTGCACTCCTGTGGTCGTCTCTTCAGAGATTCCCTTAATTCCTTTCAGCAGCTCTGGATGTTTGGTGTGAACAAGCTTTGTGATATCTCCTCCATCATCAAGGATCATGTTGAGTGGTTTTCCATCTGGAAAATATAGGGTCTGCTTAATGCACCAGATGTATTCTTCATCGGTCTCCCCCTTCCAGGCATACACTGGTACCCCGGTCTTGGCAATGGCTGCAGCAGCATGATCCTGGGTGGAGAAGACCACTGCACCTCAGCTCCCAGTGCCGTCAGGGTCTCGATGAGCACAGCTGTCTGGAGAGTCATGTGCAGACAACTGGCAATCCGGGCCCCGTTCAGAGGTTTTCTCTCCGAGTGCATCTCCCTCATCTTCATCAGGCCAGGCATTTCGTATTCTGCAATTTCGATGGCCTTTCTGCCCCATTCTGCCAGGGTGATGTCAGCAACTTTGTAGGACAGCTTGTCAGACATGGTGATCGGCGGAGAGATCGCAGCACCACCACAGCCGCTGAGCCAGCAGACGAAAGGGAGGCCTGCAGGATCATCGGCATGAAACCTATATGGGGTGACACCAGACCCGCTCCAAGAAAAGGTAAGTTGTAAAGCAAGTCAACAATCCCCGCAGGATAGATCAGATCCATCCTGCGGGGATCGTCGACTTGCTTTACAACTTACCTTTTTGTGGAGCGGGTCCGGTGTCACCCAGTGCGGTCAGTGTCACCCAGTGTGGACCGCACCCCCCCCTGCACCTGGCTCGGGACACCACTGATCCAAGTGTTATACTGTAAGGCCCTGAGCCTCCACCCACCCAGCCCATATTCTATTAAATTTAGCTGGACAATTATGACTCATATAAGTAAGTTTGAACAACGGAAGCGCCCTGTTGATTGCCGATTTCCATCCCAAGACTGTCGGTGGGGTTGTCAATGTTCTATTTCAACAAAATTTATCTTCTAGCATAGTAGAAAGCATAGAAGACAAACAGTCTATTATGCTTAGATGTCTCCACAAGGTCCAAGAGACCCAGCAACATAATCAGTAAATCCATGGGAATAGACAGTTTACAGTGTTAATAATATTTAAGCCCCCCGACCCAGAAGGGGAGAAGCTTGGAGCATTCCCAAAACATGGAGAAACATGCCCACCTCCATATCACAGCAAGGGCATGTGGCCAATCTATCAGGATATATCACAGCCAAGTGCCGCGGGGTGTGATATACTCTATGGATAAATTTAAGCTGTATGCAGCGGTCCCTGGCTGAGATCATGGTAAGGAGGCACTGTAGAAGACAATCATCCTAATCATTCTCCGAGAGTGAAGGGAGGTCTGTGTGCCATTTAGCACATGCATTCTAGATAGTGTAGAAAGTGGTATCAACAGGGAATAGAGAGAGGACAACGGTTTAGGCAAATCCTCCAATAACAATAAGTTTTCTAACAGATCCATCTAAATGGTCGGTGGAGAAGGAAATTGAGTGGCCACCGTATGACGCAGTTGTAAAAACCGAAAAACATTCGGTTAGGCAGGCCATTTGAGTTCGTCAAATAGAAGCAAGACGCCACTAGGCATAATATGGTGCAAAGTTTTAATGCCATAGTAAGCCCACTATCACTGGATCTGGTATCATATTCAGATGGGGGAGGCCAGGGTTGCCCCAGAGTGGCGTGTGAGGAGAGTTATTTACCCAAAATGGAACTCAGCCTGATTCCACACCCTCAGGGTCGTCAGCATAGGAAGAGTGATGGGTGAGTTGGACTTTGGACCTCTATGAATTAGGTTATAAAGTTCAGCATTCAAACCTAACATTTCCGCCTCCAGGATCACCGCAGTGTTATCCCTAGGCCGGGAGAGCCACCAGCGCAACGTGACCAGAACAACCGCCCAGTAATATAAAAGCAGGGTAAACAAGCCTGGTGAAAGTGGACAGCCCTGCCGAGTGCCCCTATGGAGAGCAAAAGGGGGGAAAGGATATTAATAGTATGTACTCTTGCAAGTGGCGCACTGTAAAGGCACCTAATCCACAAAATGAAATGAGGGCCAAACAGTGGCGCCCTAGGTGGGTGCGGGGGGTGTGAGCCGCACCGGTTGCCCCCAGACAGAAGGAACAAGGGCCCAGGGCCTGGCAGGTCAGGAGAGCTTGGCAGGGTTCGGGTGGGAGGCAGGCTCAGGCGGAAGGCAGGGTTTTAGGCAGGGGGGCAGGCTCAGAAAGTCTTCAGCAGGAGAAGGTGGGCTTGGCTTGGCATCCTGAATTAATGGCAAGCCAGCTGTCTTACCCTCTCTGTGCCTTCCCAGAGTGCTGATTCCCTGCTGCACCCACTGACTTTGTTAAGATCCGGCAGGAAGCCCAGACCCAGACTGACCATCGCAGCTATGCTCCGCCCACCTGGCCTCTCTGCAGCCAGCTGGCCATCTATTCCATTCACTGCATAGGTTTAGAGGGCGGAGCCTAGAGATCAGCTGACCATGAAGAGGGGGTGCAGGAGAGGAGACCATCACTGCATGTCAAGTATCAGTGCAGCCGCAGACACCACGGACCACAGATAAGTGCTCCATTACTTGTCAAATAGAGTCTCCGTCTCTTTCTCTCTCTCCTCCCTCCTCTCTCTCTTCTTCCCCCCTCTCTTCTTCACCCCCCCCTCTTTTTTCCTCCTCTCTCTCTCTCTCTCTCTCTCTCTCTCTCTCTCTCTCTCTCTTCCCTTCTCTCTCTCTCTTTTCTCCCCCCCCCTCTTCTTCCCCCCTCTCTCTTCCTTCCCCCCTCTCTCTCTCTCTTCTCCCCCCCCCTCTCTCTCTCTTTTTCCCCTATCTCTCTTCTTCCACCCTCTCTCTCTTCTCCCCGTCTCTCTCTCTTCTCCCCTTTCCCCCTCCCCCCCTCTCTCCCCCTCTCTCTCCTCCCCCCTCTTCTCCTCCCTCTCTCTCTCTTCTCCTCCCTCTTTGTCTCTTCTCCTCCCTTTCTCTCTCTCTCTTCCCCCTCTCTCTTCTCCACCGTCCTCTCTCTCTTCCCCCCCTCTCTCTCTCCCCTCTCTCTCCTCTCTCTCTCTCTCCTTCCCCCTCTCTTCTCCTCCCTCTCTCTTATCCTCCCTCTCTCTCTGCCTCTCTCTCCTCCCTTTCTCTCTCTCTCTTCCCCCCTCTCTTTTCTCCACCCCCCTCTCTCTCCCCCCCCTCTCTCCCCCCCTCTCTCCCTCTCTCTCTCCTCCTCCCTCTCTCCTCCTCCTCCTCTCTCTCCCCCCCTCTCTCTCTGTCTCTTCTCCCCCCTTCTCTCTCTCTCTCCCCCTCTCCCCCCTCTCTCTCCTCCCTCTCTCTCTCTCCTCTCTCTTCTCCTCTTCTCCTCTCTCTCTCTTCTCTTCCCCCTCCCCCCCCCTCTCTCTTCTCCTCCCTTCTCTCTCTCTCTCTCCCCTCTCTCTCTTCTCTCTCCCTCTCTCTATTCTCCCCCTCTCTCCTACCTCCTCCCTCTCTTCTCTTCTCCTCCCTCCCTTCTCCCCCCCCTCTCTCCCTCTCTCTCTTCTCACCCCCCCCTTCTCTTCTCCCTCTCTCTCCCTCTTCTCCTCTCTTTCCCTCTTCTCCTCTCTCTCTTCTCCTCTCCCCCCCCCTCCCCCCCCCTCTCTCTCTCTCTCCCTCTTGCTCCCTCTCTCATTTTGCACAAGATAAAAATAATCTGGGACTAACAAGCCACTGGGTTACTTTTACAGGTGGCAGAAGGGAGTCCCTCCCCCTCCTGCCACCGATGCCTTTACCAGTCTCTACCATGTAGTCCCAATGCAAGTGATCAGAATGATCTGTGTCTGATCGCATGCATTGGGAGGCCAGAGGAGAGATTTGGGGTCTAATAGACCCCAGATCTCTCCATAAACAGGAACTGTTATGGTCCATGCTATCACAAGAGAAATAAACTACTATTCCGGGGACTCCAGGAGGTGCAACGGGGACACAGGGAGGGGAAGAGCCCAGCCAGGCTCTGTGTGCACGACAGGGACCACCCACCTCTGGAGGGGTGACACCACATGTTAACACACACCGGGTGATACCAACCCTAGGGACGCCTCTGGTGCCAAATCCAAATTAACGCAGAGCTTAGTTGTACTTTAAACAAGTTGCCTGCACTTTGACAAACCACAAATGTCAAAAATACAAAGAAATTTCAAATTATGTTTGAAACGTGTCATTTTCTCCAATAAAAACGTGATAAAGGCTATAGCCTTTTCACTGCATCTTAAAGGTCACCTTTGCAGAAAAAATAATAAATGCCCATATTTCTGCAAAAAGAAAAATGTGCAAGCATTTTTTTTTCTGCAAGCATGGAAAGCATTGCACCCACAATCAGTAGATCACCGGTGCAACGTGGGCTCCTACAGACATGTCCTGTGTATCTCTGTACTAGCTTTCTGTTTGAAAGCTGGAGGACATGTCAGTGGACTACAAGAGTGCTCATAAGCGCCCC